CTCTCTCTCATTCTCTCTCTCTCTCTCTCTCTCTCCCTCCCTCTCGCGTTATTTTATTTGTTTATGGATGGAAACGAATAATTCCCTGACTCTTCAAAAGGTCGTCTTAACAAATCATTTTGTCTATTTGTTTGTTTCCCAACACTTGCGCCTACTTTCGTTCTCCAACAAATCTTGTAAACTACATGTATCTTCGGTTTCAAAATTATGGTCTTCCCTGATCTCTGTAGATCTGTGATAATTTAGGAACCTGACCAACTAGCAGAATTCTCATTTTAAAAAGTGTTCTATTCCTCTCGGAATTTACATCATCTTTCAATAGACCAAGTCTACCAGCTTTACAATACACGTTCTGCGCCCAGTAAGTATACGTGGAAATACAGTCAGAAACAACAACAAAAAACAACAATAATTACAACCGTTGTCTGATATGGCTTTATTACTTGTTTTAATAAGTGTCATTTTTTCTTTAACTCACAAAAAAAAAAGAAAACTAGATTGTCCACTAGCTAACAACCGAATGCACTGCGTCATAAGCCCCTAATAACTGGAGAAAAAACAACAAATGTACAAGCAAAAGATTAAGAGATTTTCCTTTTCTTCTCAATTTGAATTTTGAGTGACTTTCAAGAATGCAGTGCACGTTTCTCGTAAGAAACCTCTGAAACTAATGGCGTTCCCATTCGGATTACCAAGTTGAAGACCCATAGACGTCATGCTCACGCTAAATATTCACTATGCAACCTTCAAATTGTTGACAAAATACTAGACAAAATGTGAATTTTTTATCACCTTGTGGTGAACTTACGGACAACTAATAGTACAACCACAAGAGGTCAAATTTTACACAAATTCAAATCTTCGTCAACGGTGGCAACAGAGATTTTGCATCCTATTAAGCGAGTCGGTATAACAAATGCTTTTTTTTTCATGCAACTATTGACAGTACTTTTTGGCAGCTATTATTATCAGAGCTGGTTGTAACGGAGTACAAAATACTTGTACTCAAGTACACTTTACAGGAAAGTACTTTTACTGTACTTAAGTACATATTTTAAATTGTACTTACATTTGTACTTAAATACCATTTTAAAAGTATTTCAACAGCTGTGATTATTATTATTAAACAACACTTCAGAAATTTTTAATTTGAGCTCAGTGAAGTGACGCAGCAAAAGATGGTTTCGAACTTTCAAAGCGTTCAACAGGAAAAAAAAACCTTGAACAATTTTTTAAAAAATTGAACTACAGCAAACTCCCCAACAGTAAAGGAAGAAAGAAAGCCATGGGACAAACTATAAATAAAACAGAAGCGAGAAAAAACTAGGGCCAAATGCGACAGTAACTTAAATAATTGTGGGCTACGACCCCCAAGGCAGGTTATGTAAAGGGTTGTCAGGGGTTCGCGGTCCATGCTTGTTCTATTGTACTTGAAAGAAGAAAGAGGACGGGGTAGAATTTGACACCCAGGCAAGGAGCCGCATGTTTAACCCTTCTACCGCCAGACCTGCGTTTTAATCTTACAAAGAGCGTACTCAGTCCAGGGTGAGGCAGTGAAGAGGTTATGAAGCCCAAGAAGCAAAGGTCCTGTAGCCAAGCAGACAGTTGAAGTTCGTGTAACTAACAGAACTTATACCAGTTGTAGGGACTGTCATGACCGTGACCAGAAATCATGGGCTCACATCTACGCCTGGTTGTAATTTTATTGCAACAGTCAAAGAAATATATCTATCTAAACAAAATGTCAAAGAAATAAAGCAAACAAAAGCGTCTAACGTGCATAAAGTTCAAAGCAAGGGGGAGGGGGGTGTACTGTTATTCTGTTTGTTCTTTTTTCAAGGAAGTTGTTGGGTTGTTTGTGTTAGTTTGCTTCCTGGGGG